GACTAACACAGGCGCCGACCTAGCAACCTGGCCCGGACACCGACCCGCCGACTGACACAGGTGCCGACCTGACAACCTGGCCCAGACACCGATCCACCGATTGACACAGGCGCCGACCTGACAATCTGGCCTAGGCGCCTACTTGGCCGCTTGACACAAGCGCCAACCTGACAACCTCGAGGAGTTCATCACCATACCCCGGTTCTGACGGGATATGACGAGTCTTACCATTTGAAGGTTTTTCACCCACCTAACCCACGAGGACACCACTATATAAGGACTCCGACCCCCAAAGCCAAGAGGAGGGAAAAAAGGATGGTAACCCCTACTCTCTAGCTCTCTCATTTCTCTCCAAGCTCTCTGTAATCAGAATGCTAACTTAGGCATCGGAGAGTCCCCGCTGGGAAAATACCCCCGGGTCCTCTGATTCAGTTCTCGTAGGTCCCTCAGCTCCTACCGCCTACAAAGGAGAGGAAATCACCTCACGCAGAAGGTGTCGGGTTGCGCTGCACCAGGGAGCTCCACCATCCTCTGAGTTGCAGGCCGCCTAGGAGCAGGTCAAATGATGATCTCGTAGGTCCCTCAGCTCCTGCCGCCTACAAAGGAGAGGAAATCACCTCACGTAGAAGGTGTCGGGTTGCGCTGCACCAGGGAGCTCCACCATCCTCTGAGTTGCAGGCCGCCTAGGAGCAGGTCAAATGATGAGTCCACTAGGGAATTCACCACCAGGGAGCTCACCACCAGGCAGTTCGCCATCAGGCAGTTCGCCACCAGGGAGCTCGCCACCAGGAAGTTCGCCACCAGGCAATTCGCCACCAGGCAGTTCGTCACCGAGTAGCTCTCCACCAGGGAGCTCGCCACCAGGTAGTTCGCCACTAGGGAGATCACCACCAGGCAGTTCACCACCAGGGAGATCGCCATCAGACAGTTCGCCACCAGGGAGCTTGCCACCAGGCAGTTCGCCACCAAGTAGCTCTTTACCGGGGAGCTCGCCACCAGGGAGCTCACCACCAAGCAGTTCGCCACCGGGCAGTTCTTCACCAAGGAGTTCGCCACCAAGCAGTTCGTCACCAAGTAGCTCTCCACCAGGCAATTCTCCACCAGGGAGTTCGCCACCAAGTAGCTCATCACCAAGGCACGTCACCACCGGGTCAAATAACGAGGTACTTAGCCAAAAAAATTTATACATCACAAAAAATTGTACATGACCAGAAACGGTTACATCAACCCTCTTCATCATATTAGCCATCCTAGGTAGGGATTGCATTTAATTGGATAGTTTTGAACAGTACTAGTAGATATAAATATTTATTACTCAAAGTCTGACAAATAGAAATAGAATTAATGAATTTGATACTCTTACCGTGATGGACGCTAAATATCATTAATAAGCTAATCACCTCCATACCATGGATTGCTTTAATGATTAAAACTTAAAAACAAATTCATCCTTAGTTATTCTTTACAGAAAAATTAAAGAAAATGCTAAACAAACTCAACCTTAGGCGAAAGAAAGCTTTCTACATTACCCAAAAATTGAACATTAAGGCACCATAATTTTTTTTTTTTTTTGGTCAGTGATTAAGGCACTATAATTTCCATGGAAGTAATTTACAAAAGCAACAAAAAAGCAAGAGGAATCCAAAGAAAATTTGGTGAAGAAAATGTTAATTAAGGTGACAAACTAGTCAAATTGGAGGCAGTTCAGACATAAACCACTCTAGTGGGAGAGGGGACATGAGATGGCCATGGGCTTCCTAAAGAAGCGTGATCAAGTCTGGTTCTTTTTTTTCTTGGGATGTTTGGATCACCATCATCCTCATTCCAAGTATATGGGGTCAGCTAACTGAATCCTGTTTTGTCATTCCATTCTGTTCAGTGTCATTACAGGGCATTCCTAATAGATGCCATGAAACTAGCTTTCAAAATTTAGATTTAAAAGCTTGTATCAGAATTCAAACTTGTGAGAGAAACCATTTTCCT